GGCGGGCTGAGGCCGCCCTCGCGATCCGCGCTGGGAATTGGGCCCCGCCTCCCCGGTGCCTCCCTGGGGGTGTCGGCCCGAGTGGCCGCGGCGGCCGGGCCGGTGCGCGCGTCCAGCCTCTCTCCTTCCCGGGTCCCCGCCTCCCGGTCCCGCCGCTGCGCGCTCTCAGGGTGCCAGCTCAGGGTGCTGTTTACCAGAACGAACCTGACCGCCTGCGACTTCCAGACGGTCCGGGAAGGGCCGTGTTTGTTCTCCTAAGCTCGGAGTCAGGCTCAGCAAACAGACATTTTTGATCCAAAGCAAGACTATACTTGGTCTGTTTGCAAAGTCTGTTTGCATTCCTGCCTCCTAGGGGCTCAGAACCTCCAGGGTGGCAGCCTTTGTGCCTCTTGCCGAGGGTCTGCCGTGGGCTTGGCTCCCTGAGAAAGGTCCAGTGCGCAGACTGGGTTCCCAGGAGGAAGGGGGCTGTTACTTATTAACCAATGCTACAGTGCCAAGAATTGGGTGAGATCTTTTTGTGGCTCTTTACAAGCCGGTTTTGGAAGATCCACTGCTCAAGGGCCCCCAAATCCTGATACCACAACTTGTTGGCTTTGTGACCGTGGAGGATTTAATTCATCTTTCCGTTTTCCGCTTTTAAAAACGTGTGCATGTAAAGTGGAAATAACGGTAATACCTATCTCATGGGGCTGTTTTGTGGATGAAATGGGCTGCCTTGTAGAAGTATTCACTATGTTTTAACTATTATTATTGGCACAAATTATATTTAATGGACATAATGACCCTTTGAAAGGGGTTTTAAACATATTTTTTAACGCATTGAGCATTTTTGCCTGGCTGCTGGTAGTGTGATCAGGCCCCTCTTCTCCCCTGGATCTGTGCCTCTGCAGTCGTTGAAGAGCTTTTGTTTTGTGTTTGGGAGAGAAAAAGGACATTTTGATCTAGTCCCAGGAGAGGCTGAGGTGTGGTTGAGAACAGAGGAGGGGAATGCAATGGTCTGTTTTCCATCGACTTTCTTGGATAATTTTGAGCTCCAATTTCCAGATGAGCATCACAAAAATGCCAGGGGATGGGGTGGGGTAAAAATATTTTAAAATAATTTTTAATGTCTCCACATATAATGTATGCTTACTCTCTGTACAGTTTTTGTCAGAGTTGTTTGTTTGTTTTTTTAAGAAATATTTGTTCTTTTAACCTCAGAACAATTCGATAGAATGCTCGGAGAAAAGTCAGAAGGTTTGTTTTTTTCCAATTCAATACACATTTCTATTTTTCCTCAGTTCATTTCTCTGGAAATTATTTCTATGTCTGCATTCAAAACAGGGATTGATGCACCATTCTGAGAAAAATAAAACAACAACAAATGTCAACTCGAATATCAACATTAGTATACTTAGAGAATAGTACTTCTTGCTTCCTAATGAGCGAGAAAGACTATTCTGTGGGTATACACCTCTCCAGGCTTAAAGGAAATAGCTTTTACAAACATAATGTTATCACATTTAAAAATTATTTTTAAACTGAAAACAATTTGTAATGTCTTAAAAGAATATATTTTGTGTGTGCCTAAGATCTTTGGTGGGGAGAGAGGGGTGTCTTTTTGTTGTCGGTTTTGTTTTTATTGTTTGTTCTTAATTTTACCTGACAGAGTTGAAATATCATACCGTGCAGTTCAGTATCTGACACTTCACAATCCTTTTTGAGCCCCCTGTGATAAGAGAGTCTTAGAGGCAGAATTTGATGGAACTTTTAAAAAGGGACTTTATAAAGTTCTGGTAATGAGGTATGGCAGACTCAATGAAACAAACCTTCTATAACCCTCTGCACGGAAATCAGAACAGTCTGATTCCCCAGGAATCTTTAGGAGCATCCAGAGATAGAAACCTTGCTATCTTAATCTGTTATTGCACAGAAAATTACCTCAAAACATAGCAGCGTAAGACAATAAACATTTATTATCTCACACTTTCTAGGAGCCAGGAATATGGGAGTGGCCTAGCTGGGTGGTCTAACTCAGGGTCTCTCAAAAGGTTTCAGTGAAGATGTTGGCTGGAGCTAGAGGCACTTGAAGGTGTGACTTGTAGGATTTGCTTCTAGGGTGGCTCACTCACATGGCTGCTGGCAGGAAGACTCACCACTTTCTATTGGGCTGCTTTAGTGTCCTCATGACATGGTAGTTGAATTCTCCTAAAGCAACTGATCCAAGAAAGGGCAAATTGGAAGATGCAATGTCTTTTATAACCTATGCTCAGAAGTCACACATCATCATTTCCAGCACAGCCTATTAGTTACAGAGATTAGCTCTATTTATTGTGGAAGGGGACTAGACAGGGGCATGAATACCAAGAGGTGGGGATCTTTGGGACCATCTTTGAGGCTGACTACCATATTTTACCCTTTGCCCTCAGTGATTCAGGTCTCTCTTAAGTGTAAAATACATCCATGTCCTCCCAAGATCCCCAAAGTCTTAAACTACTACACCATCAGCTTAAAGTCCAGAATCTTATCTAAATCAGGTCCAGGTGTGAATGAGGATCCTAGGTGTAGTGTCTTAAATGCAGCTCCTAGAGAATAGTTCCTCTCTATCTGAACACTTGATTTCCTCCACACTCCCAACATACGATGGTGGGACAGGCTTAGGATAACTGGTACAGACACTCCTGTTTAAAAAGAGGAAAGATGTAGAGAAGTCCACTGGTCCACAGCAATCCTGAAATTCAGTTGGACACATGTTAGAAGTTCCTTAATTAGAACTCAATTCTACGTATGCTTAGGAATGACTCTCCATGACTTTTGACTTTACCCTTTAAGCTCTTTATTCCACACTCTGAGTCACCCTTCTTTTTCTATGAAAAGTAGCCCATGTTTGCAGCTGTGTAACTTGACAGTCTGCTTTCTGCCAGTAGAATTTAGGCACTCTAAGGACCCCTTTTAATTTTGTACTGTCTCTGTTCCATTTAGTTCATGCTGGCAATGTTTCCGCCAATATAATTTCTTTTACAATGTTGTGAGTCTCCTATGAATCTAATTGGGGCACCACTTCATTGGACAAAAATCATACCTACAGATCGCTTCAAAATAAGCTCTTATCTACTCTGAAGCACACTTCTACTAAAACAGCTGAGGCACAACACTAATAAGCTTCTTTGAAGCCATGTATTGTTTGTCTGAATGATTCTCTTAATCACTGCTGTAGATCTTTTTGAGGGATGAACAAAGGGTTTTTACAGCCATACTCTCTGCTTCATCATTTGATGATGTTTTCCTTGCAGTGTCCTGGAGATTATTTTTGACTGGAAGACATTTCTTCATTTTAACATTATTTGCCATCTAGAGGAGATGGGAATATTCAAATTTAGCAAATTCTGAATCCTTTTTTTTAAAAAGTCCCTCTTTAGGTTATTGCTTTCTTCTCACATTTTGCAGCAATCAGGAATACCACATCAGTCAGCACCTTCAGCACTCTACCTGGCGATGTACTTAGCTAGAACACCCAATTAATTTGGCACATTTTCTACTTTATAAATTACTGCAGGTGACAGTGTTGCTAAACTTCCTGCCACTACATTTACAAGGACCCTTTTCATCCAGTTTCCAATAACATTTTTTTCATATCCTCTTAAGCCTTCATCTACAGTTTTCTCAAAAACCATTAGGATTCTTCTAATAGTTTCTTCAAGACCCTAGGTTCTCATTAACATTCTCTTCCAGCTGCTGAGTTCCAAAGCCACTGCAACATTTTAGGTTTTTGTGATGGAAGCACCTTACTCTTTATAGTAAAATATGTATTAGTTGTCTATTAATAAATAATAAATTACCTCCAAACTTTGAATCCCCTTGGGGGCAGACTACCACAGTTGATGTTGGCATTGTCTTCTCATTGTAGTTAGCAACAGCTCTTAGGCATCTCCAAGACGGTCAGCAGGCAGTAGGTGTAGAGGACAGGGGAGTTTGCATCTGAGACTGTTTTGTGAGTGCATGTGGGACTTTGAGAAATAAAAGGTGTATTACTAAAATAAACTGGTGTCTTCTAATTATGCAGGTAATAGCTATTTAGTTATTAGACATTTAAACTCTCAACACATGAGAAAACTTACTTTCAGAGAGGTGAAAAAAACATGTTAAATGTTCACCAGCTGAATTGGGATTCAAATTCAGATCTATCTGATTCCATCTTGCCATATTTGCCTGTGGGAATAGGTGATATCTCCAAATTGCCTAACTGCTTCCCAGTACCCTTGCCTGTCTTTTCTTTCCAGCTTTGACATCAATTTCTATCCTTGTCACC